CATTCAATCAAATCGGCTTTAAGACGAAACGCGAAGTCAACGTGTGACTCATTCCCTTTTTAGCATACCGGAACCTTTGCCTGAAAGCCTCGGGTGACAACTTATAACGTCTCAAGAGCACTTCCTTAACCTCGTCATAGCTCTCAAACGCTTCCCTCGACAAGCAAGTTATCGCGTCGGACACTTCGCCGGGAAGAAGAGCTAGCAGGTTCCGCGCCCAAAGAGACCGCTCCAAAGCATTTCGCTCACAGACGTGTTCAAACTTGACGAGATACTTCGCCATGTCCTCGCCTACTACGAACGGTGGCAGTTGGTCCCGAATTCTAATACCGCTGACCTGAATCGTCGGAGAAGCTGCGCTAGGCGCCTGCGAACACTGTAGGATTGCCAATTCTAGTCGTTTCATCTCAAGGCGCTCCTGTCTCTCGGCCTCCTCGCGCTCGCGACGTTCGCGCCTTTCAGCTTCTTCACGTTCGCGAGCTTCTCGCCTTTCAGCCTCTTCACGTTCGCGAGCTTCTCGCCTGTCTTCACGTTCGCGAGCTTCGCGCCTTTCTTCACGTTCGCGAGCTTCGCGCCTTTCAGCCTCTTCACGAGCTTCTCGCCTTTCAGCCTCCTCACGTTCGCGAGCTTCTACTTCCCGCCTTTCAGCCTCCTCACGGCGTGCTTTAATATCCACCCAGGCCTCATCGACTTCCTCAGCCGACACTCCCTCATCCTTCATGATCTCAAGGATCGCTTGCTTTCGTTTCGCACGGCCCAAAGTAATGCCGAGTTCCTCACAAATTCGATGAGTTCCTTCACTTTAAGGTTCTCCATCGTTCACACTAGCCTCTTGCTGTTTGCCCCTGTTAAGAATCTACTTGCCGTACCCACTATAAGCCTACTAGCAAGACGCGCAAGCAATTTTAACACTGCCGTGTTTACCCCCTCTGCATTAACTTTGGTTTCAAAGCACTTCGACTTGGCTTGAAACGATCAAAGCTTACTTTAATGCTTCACACAGCCCTTCTCTAAACTACTACAACCTGAGCTAGAGTAGTCTGGTGAACTGAGGGGAAAACATCAGGCACTCACCGCATCGATGTCGCTGACGCCGGCCGATCCCACCGCTGCCACCACTGTTGCGTAGCGCCGGGCCTATCCCACCGCTGCCACCACTGTTGAGAAACGGCGGACCGATCCCGCCGAAGCCACCACTGTTGCGAAAGACGGCGACGCCGACGCGGTCCCGGAGGCGCCACTGCTTTCGACCCCGCCGGGAAGGTCACCAGCCGTTTGGTAGCGTATGTTTCTCAGCTCGCGACTGCTTCTGCGCAGAGCTGAGGAGACGAGCGGACGAGACGACGGTGAGTTAAACAAGGTTTATGTACAGCATATATACAGAGGCGTTACAATTTCGGCACTGGGGCCGGCAGAGACTCGAAGAGCCGAGCTCCTCTCTCTAACACATAGGTCAGCCTTTCGCCTAAAACCGCTGACTCACACACATGTCGGCACTCCGACACGGGGACGCCTCTCACATAGGACCGCCGATCGCGACACGCCGCAGGGCTTCTTTTATTTACACCGGGTCCAACCAAAGTGTCCAATCAGAAGCGCCGCGGGTCGTCCGGGCAGATTCCGCCAATGGGGGTCGCCGCGCCATGCGTCAGACCACCCGGCACGAGAACGCCGGCTCGTTCCAGCATCTACATTGAGACCCCTTCTTTTGTTCTATTCTTTTCATTCCAAACATTCCAGTATTGATGTAAAGTGACTGGAGCTTGGCAGTCTGAATGAGGCAGGTCCAAAAGGTTTTTGGAATAGAGTACCGAAATCATACTGAACAAATCACCAAAACAAATAGCGAGCCAGTGCACGATTAGAAAGACATGTCTAGAAAATTGAAAGCCCAGCATTATGCTAGTATATCCTGAAGTAAAGTACGTGAAACGAACATCATGGAAATCTGTTCTATTGCTCGCCCATTGGAGAATGAGTGGTCAGAGAATAAAACGATGTTGAGTATACTAGCATATCAGCACAAGTTTGTCTAGTGAGCAGTTGTTTCTGTCACCTGAAATAATTGTGATGTGCGCAATGGTGTTCCTCCTTCCTTAGAGTACCAAGGAATAATCCATCATGACATTAACTGCAAATGCAGTACTATAAAAAAATAGTGTTTTATGGCATGAATAACATTCCCGTGCCCTTTTTATTAGAAAATAAAGTTCAGGCTTAGACAAAGAGTGTAATGTCTGAAAAATTCTGTGGTCGGCGTTTGCTATTTTCCGTCATACTTTACAAACAGTTCAACACACTTTTTTCATAAATGGTTAATCGAAAACAGATGGATTTGCATAAGGTAATGATTTGTGCTATTCCTGTTTGAAAGTATTGGGAAAAGTATTCTACTGGATTCTAACTTTGTTTTAAATATTCGGATTTGTTACAAGGTAAGAATTTCCATTTGCCCTGATTCATGTCTACACGCTTCTGGTTATTTCTTTCTTGTTAGCCTTTCTTTCTGGTGTTGTATAGAAAATTAAATTATCATTACATTCAATCATTTGTCTTTTTATCATTCAATAATATAATACAATATTTCCATACTCACTGCAGAGTTGGTGCTAGTTTTGCTTCTATATACAGTAATCTCATGGTGACTACAGAGCAGACTAAGTGTTCAGCCTTAGCAGCAAAAGAAATTAATTCAAGTCCACAACGTCTTGATATTCAGCTGGAAAAAATATTGAAACTACTTCAGAAACTTGCAAGGCACGTTTCATACCCCAGATTTGCTTTTGAACAGATTTCAGTGACAAGCTATCAAGTGTCTCCGTGGAAGTAGAAATCCGAGTAAATCTTTTGAAACTTTGAGCCCCCGCTTATGCTTCTGGCCCTAATTAGGCAAAAGGACACGAGGTTTTTTCGAAGTTTCAAGCATGTGAATACAAAAGTAACAAAGTACCACTTGACCGAACCTGCTGCAGGAGTTGCTGAAAAGCGCAGTTAAGGCTGTAATCTATTTTTTCAAAGTTGCTTTTAACCACGGCTTACTCATGAAAGCTTAGCAAGGCAATTGTTTTTTTACGTAAGTCCAGTTGTAGAGTCCATTTTAAAAGAACCATTTAAATGAATAAAACAACTAGACAGAAGTTCAGTATCCAAACACACACACCCGCACACACACACACACACACACACACACACACACACACACATATATATATATATATATATATATCGCAAAGTTCTTTTTTGTTTAAGTCTCTTCAAATTAAAAGCCGTGCTGTAACACTCCGTCTCACAAGAAAATTACAAAAAAAAAAACGCTTCATGACTGCAACACCGTACTTCCTCGTTTTTCTTTATATTCTTGTATAATATGCCATGAACACTTCAGAAAGAAAAAAGGCATGTTCAAGAACCATCGCTTTGAAGTGCTTTGTTGCAAAGGCATTGGAAAATCTTTGTGAGAAACATTCGCGACAGGCAATTTCTCAAAGAAACTGGTACCAGCCGCGTTATCGGCTTCAACTTTTTGTCTTTTTATACAGAGAGCTGGAGTTCCAAAACGAATAAACCATGTTACACTGGAACATAAAAACTAGGATGAAAAAAAATGAAACAAGAATGACAGCAGCACCCGGCCAGTACAATTTCTACGATGATTGCATGAAGCGACGCGCAATGGTGTGTTCCTGGAACTGTACCAAACAAAATGGCGTATGTGAAGTACTTTTTAGAAGCGAGTGGCAGTAAATAAGACTGTAAGACTAGCACTCCGTCACTAAGAGAATCCTAGAGGCGAGCGAAACGTAAACATGAAAGGGTGTTCCATCTCGAGCAACGAAACATAAGTGTGCTTGTAGAAAATAGAATTGCACCTCGGCCGTTCTCTCTTGACAGCCACCCAGCTAGAGCTTCATAGCTTTTTTTTAAGAGGAGCAAGAATATATGAACTCTTAAATAAAAAATAATGTTATTCTATAAACTATACAGCCAAGCACTACAAACAAACAAAAACAGCTGAGTCTCAAGGTCCTCTCCGGGAAATATACCCGCGGTCTTATTGCTTGAGTGCACTGAGGGCTTCGTTGAAATGTGCACAAAAACATAATCTTGAAGTGCTGCACATCTGCTGTCGTCCCATTATCCGCCTTTCGCTAAACAAAAAGTACAATGCTACAAAAAAGAACTTTTCAAAGCAGATGTTGAGTCGTATGTCGCCGTCAAATGAAGAGAAAGAATTGTAAGGAAGGTGCTCACAGCTTTCCCCTGTAAACACAAACGTCTGCGGTATGAAGTTTTGGTAAACTTGAAGCGTTGTTCAAACGAAAGACATACATATAAAAAATCGTGAATTGGAGCTTGTTGACATTCTACACTTGGGTAAGCAAATAATTTTAGGTGTTTTCCTTAATAAACCTAGATATAAATACATTTGGGCAAAAGTACTGCTGTGTATCTCGAAATGATACATCTGAACAGATAAAAACATGGGAAGGAATCAGCTTGGTTTTATTCTTTTACATGATTAGAACCTCCTTAACTATTTTTTTACAAATGCTAAAAAAGAGATGTTTAGGCACAAGTCACGTTTTGTCTCATGTTTTATGTTGGAAGGAACAAGAAACTGAAACAATGTGTATGTACTTTCCACACTTCTCCACAATGTGGCCTTTAAGCTTTCGTTTTTAACATGTTCAAAAAGAAAAAGAATAACGAGCCATAACGTGGTTTTCGAACAAGTAGGGTGGCTTAACCAATACCATAAATATGAAAAAAAAGCAGATTTTAAACAGCAGGAATGATGATTGTGCTATTTTCTTTGACGAGTATAGTTTTCGGGAGGCAGCCTCTGTGACAACCTGCACGTTTTCGTAATGCATGTGCAGTCTTCTCATGGACATTCCACTTGTGTAGCTCTTCCCGTGCCCTAAAGCACATACTTGGCAAGAATAATGTAGACGTAACTCTTGTGGTTTCCGGTGCAGATGCTGTCGCCATCTTCGGCGGAGACAGACCAACTTCCTTGATCCGGCAAGCGCGGTGCTACAGAGGATAGCGGAAGCATTGCAGTCGTGGACTCCTCCGTTAGGTGGCGAAATGTCGCTAGCGCGCTTCTGCTGGGAATGTCACTCTGTATATGGTGAGATACGTGGCATGCTTGTGCTGATTTTCCTTTCTTTTCAATCGTTCATTTTAAATGCGAAGCATTACTTTGCGCACTGCATGCACACTTTGACTATCTATCTATCTATCTATCTATCTATCTATCTATCTATCTATCTATCTATCTATCTATCTATCTATCTATCTATCTATCTATCTATCTATCTATCTATCTATCTATCTATCTATCTATCTATCTATCTATCTATCTATCTATCTATCTATCTATCTTGCCGCCTACGTCTGGATACTGACGGGGTCAACTCCTCAACTTTGGATGAATAAAAGTTATTAAAGAAAGTAAAGAGTGTTTCGCCATTACTAATGTCTGGTTATGACATGACTAATGCGAAAATGCCATCGTGTACGACGTAAAACTCTTTCCTTCTTACACGTGTGGCACATACCCGTATACCCCGGCCATGTTACGTGGGTGTACGCCACCATTGTTTGACAGTTTATATCTACCGAGGAACAGTGACAACAGAGAGTGGTAATTTTATAGCAAGAGTGTTAATAAGAAACAGCATTGGAAGCCTTTATTCGTTGAAAGCAACGAATAAATGTTAAATATACAGCAGGAGTCAAACGTAAGAATTCTGCGTGTCAATCATGTATCTCCGAGGCTCTGATGTATTGTACACCAGAGCCACGCCGGGTGTCGGAAATTCCTTGGAAGAAGACCCCACGCAGCTGTAATGTGAGTGAAATGTCAATTGTGGTTGTACTGCTGGTCATTTGATCATATAAACATTACCTGTGCACTCGAACTTGAGAGAGAAAGAGAGAGAAGCAAATGAAAGACTACGAGAATAGCTAAGCTGCCCCGGGTTTACTACTTCAACTGGCGGAAAAGGGAAATGGGAGAAAAGGAATAAATAATGAAAGAAGGAAGAAAGAGAGTGCTGTTCGTGCTACTTCGATTTGAGGCTGACGAGAAGGGAATGGAAGAAAAAGATAGGGTAAGGAACAGTTTCGCAATGAACAGTATACTATAGGAAGAAATAAGAAAGTGAAGTCAGGGTGCGGAGAATAGCTGTGAGGGTGAGAAACACGGAGGCACGGTATGGCACTGATTAGGGCAGATGAGTGAAGTAGGAAGGAGAGTAGAAGCTTGCCGACATTCTAAGGAAGGCCATCATCTGCATTGTTTCAGGCACTGCGCCACGCTCCCGACTGGGTTGCAGAAATTAGGTGCCTTTTCTCATCGTCTAACCACTACCACCACCACCAGCAGCAGTTGCCCCGTACCAGTGAAACTTTTTTTATTTTATTAATAATTCCGGATGGAGGGTGGGACATAAACAGTGGGTTATTAGGCAATAAATCAGGTTTTCACAATGGTGACTGTCAAGTTCCTTCTAGAACACCCCGAATGCAGTTTGATGGGGTGGTGATATCCGCAGCTTCGTGGGGAAGACCGTTTCAGCGTAGTGCTGCTTTAAGAAAAAAAAGAAGCATAAAATATTTTCGTACGGGCACAGGGGTGAAAGCTCTGTGGTACATGGCCAGTATGGGAAGGCTTGTGAGTTCAAGGAATGATTTGCTAAAAGCGATCAAGGGATGCATGAGAAATGAAACTTGTGAAGTAATGACATGGTTTCAACAAATTGCAGACGAGACAAATGTTATAAGTTACAGTCAGCTTTCAGGAATGAAACACTGATGTTTTATGAATACGAAATTTGAATAAGTGTAGAAGCATAACTTTGACTGTATTCTAGAGAATTTCGGAGACATACTGCAGGTGGGTTTCAGATGGAGATTGCATACTCTAACTTTGTACGCGTACTGTTGGCCTTCATCGCAGAAGAGGAGGCAAGGACTCTTTTTAGCGTTTCGGTTTCGGATTCACTGGTGATAGTGTTTTGATGTTACCACTGTGCTAAAAAACTTGCCACTGTTTTTTTGAAATCTCAAAGCGGCGATTTACTATTGGCAAGGTGGGGCACCGATCGTCTCATGCCACCCGATCACCATCACCAACTGTAAAGTTAGTTCCAATCATTCCTTTAATTAGAACTGAGGCCACTAGCTGTCTTAAGATTTCTGCCGCCACAGTAAACAATAGTTATGAAGGCAGCCACTGAATGTGTCATGTGCCTCATGTTTATAGATTTTTGGACATATTTCTTGAACATCTATTTTTATGGTGTTCGGATGGTTGCTCCGACAGTCACGGTGACGAATACCGATCATGATGGCTGCCGTTTGATGAAGGTGGAATGCAAGAGGCCAGTGTTGCTTCACGATAAAACAATCCAGGTATTCGAAACTTCCGGAAATTTCCTCCGTGGCGTTGCTCATAAATATATGGTGGCTTTGGGATGTGGAGCCAAAAAAAGTGCGATTACAATTCCTGAAATATACGATATAATCGTGTTTCGTAGCAGCGATAAAAGAGCTATAGGCTGGACCACATGAGCTAACTGATTAATTCCTCATATACATAAGGTGCTTCCATGATGTAAAACCCAAACAAGTATGATTACATTTCTTGAAACACTCTGTGTAACCGCGTTTGGTAGCAGTGCTAAAAGAGCTGAAAGTTGGACCACACACGTTTGCTGAATAACTCTTCCTTCATTGTATACAGTACTATGCGCCGAACTACCATGAACAGTCATAGAGAACGGAAAAAGAAAAGAGTGTTAGTCATACGAGTGAAGACCACCGTGTCGGCAAAACAAGGGACCAAAACGTGAGAGAGTGTCATAGGCTTTAGTGCGCTCTGTGGCGTTCCATTTTGGAACCTTCTGCGTGAACCGGCTGGTTTGCACCGAACAAATGTGTCTCAGATAAAAACTGCCAATGGCGTAATTTGAAGTCTCGGCAAGCATTGTTGCATGCGTGGTCCTTACTCAGAAAGCTGCGTGTTGGGTCGACGCTGCCGACTTCAAAACAGCTTGGCTGACCAAGTCTGGTTGCGTGACGTCATGGTCCCCCTTTTCTTTTTCTTTTCCTTTGTGAACATTCACCAACTGGCCCCATTCATTGCTTTGTTCAACGCATAAACTGTAGGTTTCAACTGTTCAAAGTTTTGCCCTGGAGTAACGCGTTGACCCGCCTTTTGGATGCTCTAAACCGTTCCAGGAGCTGTCGGTGTAACCTGACGCTTCAGGACATACTTCCCGATGACCCTCGACAGTATGACAAGACATCGCCGCCCAAGAAGAATGGTGAGTGGCAAACGATTCTATCTTTTCTATCTCCGTAGACGACGTCTCCTCACTGCACGACGTTCTGACCGTGGACATTGCAAGTGATAAAAGAATAAATGCCTCTAATGTAGACTTCTAAACTCACTGCATTATTTTTATCACTATTGAACACACAAACACAGTGTTGTATACAGTAAACTATTGTATGTTTATACAGTCATAAAGTACCCTAATTGTCGGAAGACCTTGCAAAGAGGGGCTGCCATAAAGGGTAAAACTATCAGCTTACTAGAAGTGGTACTTTCAGCATAACATCTATATGACACTTCTAGAAGTATAAAGGAACGCCGAATAGGACGCTGAAAAATAAACAAGGAACGCTTATTTAAGAATACGTTACGATGAATACGAAGGAAGAGTGGCCGGCTAAAAAGAGTATTTATCGTTTTCTGGAAAATGAATGAGCAGAGAAAACAAAACATCATCTACTGGTCACGTGATAATGTGGGATCTGGATGTGTACGTGAAAATAATAGCGATACGAAGGCTCACCTTCGTATGCGTTCATAATCGTTGTCAGTTAGTTTAAGAACTAATTATTGGTAAGCTACATAACAATAACAAGGATAGTGTAGCGATGTACTATCAGGGCATCTGGCTGCAGAACAGGAAGTCAGCAGGGTTCAGCATGTTTTCATAAGATTTAATTAATGAAAATAGGTAGAGACGAACAAAGACGAAAACAGGGAATGGCCGGAATGTCATGAAATATTATGAACTGACATGAAATAAATGCAAATCGGGCATGGAAAGAATAGAGAGTGAGAATTAATAGCTTAGCTTCGTCATAGATTGTATATTGACGCCACAGCTTGTTGCCGTGCAAGAAAAATAGAAAAGTGGCACTTGGATTGAGCAGATGGAGGGTGCAGACAATTAGAACACGTTGCCGATGATGTGTGGAGAGTCTCGCCACCCCCAGATGTTTCTGCAGCAGTTAGGTGCACCTGTGGAACTATAGTTTTCGCACCAGATGCGGCGACATCGTATTTCAGATGTACATAATATCTCGATAGCGTTAAAGAGCTCGTTTCGCACAAATTCCGACGTCGGTGTCTTCATCATTGGCTGTGAGCGAAAAATCATCATCTTATGCGTGACCGAGTGATCGAGAATGGTGCAAATAAAATACAAGATAAAGAAATCCCGGGTCATATTGGGGAACGAACCAGGGTCGTTTGTGTGCTAGCAGAGATCTAACCGGGTCGTTATCGTGGCAAGCAGATGTTCTGCCACACGGCCACTCGTCCGCTTCTAGATACAGTGCAAAGAACTTTATCTGCTTAGAAATGCAGAGAAAGTAGCTTTCATGCTTCACAAACAAATGCGTCCTGTATACATGTTTCACTCTGCAATATGAAATATTTCGGAAATAATGCATGCTACAAGCACCCATTGCAAGCAAGTTGTTGTTGTTGTTCACCTATTGTTAGTGGCGCATACCCACTATGGGGGATTGGCCAAGAATCGAGTTGTTTTAAACATTACTGTTCAGATTTGGAATAATTGAGGTATAACAGAAAGATTACCGATAGCCTAGGAAAGTGTGGTACCTAATGTAATGCATACAAATATTTACATAAACGAATTTATTAATTAGAATAGAGCAATAATCTGATTTTATACGTATATAACTATGTGGATATGTTAGGAAATTGAAACTGGTTAATTAGTCAACCTATTAGTTTCATCAATATAGTCCCGGACGGCCGCGCATACTGTCGCATTAGAGAAACCAGAAGTGGAAGCTCCAAAAGACAAAATGACAGGCACAGATAAGTCCATAGCAATACCACGTAAAAGTATTTCTAAAAGGGTTTTTCGTAATGTGTTAAACCGCCTGCAGGTCAAAAAGAAATGATCTATTGTTTTCAGTTCATCACAGAATGCGCACAGTGGCGAAGGTGCCTGAGCAGACCTGTGTTTATAGAAATTTAGACTTGGTACCCGGCAACGCAGCCTTGTGATAGCTATTTCTTGTTATCGAGTGCGGCAAAAGTCTCTTCGCCAGGGATATAATAAATGGCGATATTCTGTAGAGTTTGTTAGTGCTGAACCTTTAAAGACTTCCATAAGCGTACGTCTGCGGAATCGAGCAGCAGTCACATAAGCGGATGATGGACAGAGTGGTAGAATTGGTTCGCTGATTGACGACTTAACTAAGGAGTCGTCTATTTCATTTAGAAACAAACCTTTATGTCCAGGCACCCAAACTAATCGTACTTTTCTCAAATGTGCAGGTACTAGTGCACGAAACGCCTTTGTTACGTGATTATCAGCACCAACAGAAAGTGCCGCACAGAGAGGATAGGAATCTGTTATTATGACAGCTGATGTAATTGCTGTATCTAACTTGCGTAAGACGAGCACTACTGCCAGAAACTCTCAGATCCTGGGATTGATAAAGACTTCATGGTTTAAAGCCGGTCACCCATTACAAAAGGCACACACGTTACTGCGCCTATTTCTTTAAGGCCGCATAGTGGGTGTATAGCAAATTCGAAAAGCTATCATGCACCAAGTATATCAAGTACACAATAAGAACATGATATCCGCTATCGTGTCAGACTCCTCTAGGGTCCTCCAGTTTTTTTTTCTTGCTCTGTAATTCTGTTTCCAAATTATCGCATTAGCTATGTTCTATAGTGTAGCTGTTCCCATAAAAAAGATGACGCATTGACTTGAAGTTACATCATTAGGCGGGGAAAGATTTTTCGCAGCCTGTACCTGGACAAACAATCTTCTTAGTACATTCCAAACCTATTACGGTGATTAAACAGGTCGCTGGATCAAATCCCGGCAGCGGTGGCTGCATTTTGGACGGAGAGATATGCTGTAGGCCCGTGTGCTGAAATTCTGGCTGCACGTTAAAAAAAACCCAGGTGGTCGAAATTTCGGGAGTCCTCCACTAATGCGTCTCTCTAAATCATTTAGTTATTTTGGGACGTTAAATCTCACATACTAATAAATCAATTTGTTGATTGATTGTCAAACAGTGATTCCGCAGTACCGATAATTATTTAAACTGTGGTTAGTACAAAAGTATTCATTCTTTGGAAAGTCTGTATATATCTGCCGACCTCGCGCTGCACCTGTGTTTAGGTATTTTGACAACTTCTCACGACTTCAACATGTCGTGTCAATACAAGAAAGTAGCCCCGCCGCGGTGGTCTAGTGGCTAAGGTACTCGGCTGCTGACCCGCAGGTCGCGGGATCGAATTCCGGCTGCGGCGGCTGCATTTCCGATGGAGGCGGAAATGCTGTAGGCCCGTGTGCTCAGATTTGGGCGCACGTTAAAGAACCCCAGGTGGTCAAAAATTTCTGGAGCCCTCCACTACGGCGTCTCTCATAATCATATGGTGGTTTTGGGACATTAAACCCCACATATCAATCAATACAAGAAAGTACCACTATCTATTTTCTCTGGCTTACGCAGGCCGTCCAACTGTTGTGCTATTTCACGTGACGGTCATGAGCTTGGATTCTATTGACGAAGAATCCATGGTAAGCAATACGGCAAATCATTGAACTCTTGACTATCTATCTATCTATCTATCTATCTATCTATCTATCTATCTATCTATCTATCTATCTATCTATCTATCTATCTATCTATCTATCTATCTATCTATCTATCTATCTATCTATCTATCTATCTATCTATCTATCTATCTATCTATCTAATATTCTGCAATGGTAACGCTCCACTGATTGAGTGTCGCTTTTATAGCGCAAACACAGACACACCACACACACAAAAAAGGACACCACACAAGCGCTGACTATCAACTGTTAGTCAGTGCTAAGTTGGTAGTCAGCGCTTGTGTGTGTCGTCTCTTTTTTGTCGTGTGTCTATGTTTGCGCTGTAAAGCATCTCCGGGAACATGAACCAACTAGGCCCAAAACAAGTTTTACTAACTGATCGACCGCGTAGGTTGGTTCCCTAATCTTTTTTTTTTCTTTCGTTGTGTAAGGCACTGTAGGTCAAGCCGCAAAACTTCATATGTGTTAGGTGAAAGCTGAAAGTTCGTTCTTCACACGCCCTAACATTTTCTATTTATGTCATCATTTCAGTTAACACATACAAGTAACGTCCCCTAGTACGTTCCTTAGCTTCACTGCAGTGTACACGATTTTGCTTTATGTTTTGTCTAGCAAAAAAAAAAAAAGGACTCAAATATTCCTACCTCTTTCGTGCAAGTAAGTGTAACATTTTAGCGAACAAATGCCGTGCTTAGCGAGCATTCAGTGGAACAAGGTGCGTTGTTAACTCGCTGAATAGGTCCGTAACGACTGCCGCACCTACTGGATCGAGTAGCCCTCAAGGCCGCAGCTGTACCCATCTCTGCGGTTCGTTCACAAGGAGACGATGAGGTGGTCTCGCATTGGGTTGCCATGCCGCTTGGCCAACTGGCGTTCATTATCGATCCATTGGTGGCGTGAAGATGGCGAGAGCGCTTCCAGAGGGAGAAGGCATATGGCACTGGGCTCATTCACTCTCTCGCTTGCTATCGCCTCAGCATCGCCGTCCGCCCGCCTCGTCTGCCTTTCTGCCGGGATGCCTGCCCACCGAACCGGAAACGCGAGAGCTTTCACTTTCCGTGAAGTACGAACACATGATTGCTGGGCTGGCCCAATTTCACGTAACCGTAATTCGTAAACATACGCAGTTGCGGGCCCGCGGGCCAGTCCGTTTCCAGTGAGGGCGTCGGTGTTTTTCGAGCAGTAGAGTGAGGATAAATATCCATCCTGATTTTTAATACGGATCATGCGTTAGGTTTTCAAGTGGTTTTTATGTGAAATGGTTTCACTGTCCGTAACAAGCAATTTATGGGTAAATTCTACTGATTGCTGGTGTCACTCAGTAAACAGTTATTGGTAAAATTTTGCGCGAAATCGAAGTTATTGAATCTATTGTGTAATGTTTGTAGTTTTTAAACATCGATAGGAAACATTGTTGTGTCGCGTGCTGATAACAGTGGTACCCAAGACACGTTATGCAGGTTAAGCAAAGCGGAAACAATAGGTTGGTTTTATTGTAAATCACAATTACTTTTGTTTAATACAGAAGTACACTTACCATCTTTGAACTGTGAGGTCGGTACAGCTCTGTAGGCGGAGTTATTTTTATTATACAAAAGAAAATACTCCAATCAGCTGTTAATTAACAGGATGTAGCCGGAGTTGTCTTTTTCGTACTACTTGACAAAAATACCATGACACCATAGATCTCGCTCATTTGCTCTGGCATCGCTTCGGTTACTCAGGGACAAGGAAAACACTAAAGAACGCTGGGACGCAGCTTTACGCAGTCCTGCATTAAAGGGACACTTAAGGGCAGTTCAACGGGACCGCGAAGCGGCTGAATGGCTAAGCCTTTCGGTCCTAACGCGGGAGCGACCCGCTCCGCTCTAGGACACAAGCGCGGCCTACTGGACAATAATAAAGTTCTTTTATCTATCCATCCATTATCAAAAGTCAACATTAGGTGCATGTTGCCAAATAATTGGCAAGGACGTATTGAGTGAATATAACGCTTTAGGTCTGCAGAAACACATCAAATCATAGAGTAGATTTCCGTGGGCTTGGGATGGAAGCCCATGGTATGCGACAACATGCTTTCATGTGTACTAGGTAATGAGAACGCGTTATATATAATGAAGATACGGGTTTATATTGTTATCTACATGAGCTTATTTCGATAGTAGGTCGTGTTTTGATCTGGGTCAAGTCAACTGAAATAATCCCTAATCAGTAATTTACCAGAGCGTCGCAAGACGCTTTTGATAGGTAGGCCTAGCATGGTCAACCGAGTGGCTAATTATGCCCGAGAGCTTCCCCTTTCTTTCCCCATGACGATCAGGCCGAGTAGTGAAAAATCAAATAAAAATTTAACGCATGAGCTTCGAAACTACGACTAACAATACTAAACTGCCACCCACACCATGAGGAAGCATGTCTGGCTATCAGCCGTAGTAACATCTGCCGCACGTAGCTAATGTTTGCATTGGTGAAGTGCTAGCAAATGAGTCAGTGGACTTACACCGTTTGTCCGGCTGCTGTGGTGCACGGCATGATGCGTGGTATATAATCATCATCCCTTAGAAGTAACAATCTCACAACATGCAAAAAAAAGCGTAACCACCGAAGTGGCTACGATTATAATAACCGTGAATTCTTGCCCAGAACAAGGCTGGCTCTGTAGCTGTTCAAAATCAATACAGCTTGACCAACTCACAGATTCTGGGCCTCTGCATGCGCTGTTCCCTGCAGTTCTGAAGGTTTTGTTATCAGCACAATGAAGAAATATTAGAGGCGCACGCATTTATGGTCGCAATGTTCGTTTCTTAAAAAACGTTAATCCTCGAATTACAGCGGCTTCGCGGTTGGTGCTTCACAAATTCATACACCTATGAACAAGCGCGAAATCTGGTCTTGCTATTAGGCGGTGGCGCTGTTGACACGTACACAGTTCAGCATGAACTTATTGATGTCCGCTTTTTTTCTATTAAAACGTCAGTTAGTCCAGGCCCTGCAGTTTTTCTTTTTCCTTGGCCTTGCGTACAAGTCCAAGCAGTGTGCCACCATTTTTAGCAAGTAATCTTAACGACTGAATCAAGTCAGCTGCACTAAAAATAGAAACCACTCAATGCAAAGTTCTCGTCCCCTTCTTGTTAAGCCTGTAATTAGGCCGTGCCTTCTGTATAATTTACGATAGCCCTTAAGGGACGATATTTTCATGTGACCCTAAGCAAAAGACGACGCTAGCGGCGAGGGCCTAGTTCAATGCGCGTGTTTCTCTTGGCAGTAACGTATACGCCTGCAAGTGCGGCTATGGCAGTGCCAGGCGAGTTATTTCAATCTCCATTTCGTCTCGCCGTTGACAGGCGCGTTGCACGAAGAAAACATTATTCGCTTCGGCGTTAGAATGGTTGCGGATCGCGAATGCTGATGCGAAGGTCCGTGGGTTATATCCCGGGCGCTGTGGTCACGTTAACATGTAGGATAAATACTAGAAAGGTCCGGGTGGTGTGCCATTTCGGGGCTCGTTAAAGAACACCAAATGGTTCGCAATCACGCAGCAATCTACGGCTGCTTATCTTCTAATCCAGGTTTCCGCTTTTAAAACTATAAAGTTGTTTTCGCTGAAGTTATATTTACTGGTCATTACACGTTTATTCTCCTACTATAGCACAAGAACAGCTATATATGCAATCTAATTAGTGATGACAAAATGCGCTACGAATCGTACAGAGAGATAGATAGAAATGGAGAGGAAGGCAGATATAGCTCTCGTACGAAAGACCGCAGCAGAAATTGGTGCCGAAGGGCATCTTGAAAGGCCTGCAGGTACGTGTTACGGCACTGAAAAGAGCGCGAAGATGGGGCAATGGGTACAACAAAGACAACGCGAGCGTCGACGAACAACTTTGTGCAAATGAATTGCAACTTTAAATATGCACCACTAATAAGAACGTCAAACAAACGTAACACTGCCATACGGCGTGGTAAGGAAGCAGCAACTATACGCCACATGTCTTTATTGTACTTATAACCCAACAAAAACGCAATCTCATTTTAATGGAGCGCCATTGACGTCTCGCTGACACACGTTTTCTCTTTTTTTTTTCTTGATTACAAATGAAAAAAAAGGAAGAACTTAGAAAGAAGCATTGCAGAACGAAAAGTTAGAGCATAGCACTTTGCGACAAAAAGAAAACATAGAAATTGCAAATAGAGCAAGTAGATGCCAAGCTTCACTTTCCCACATGTTTCTGATAAGTGGAGCGCTTCTCTTTCTTATCAATTCAATATCCATCGCTTTATCTGACTCGAGGTTCCTGTCGCAGACGTACGCGGCGGACATTTTCTTCTCACAGTCGTGGAAGGACCATCGGTTACGGTTGCCAGACAACATGACGGCTGAGTACCGGGTGCTAGAGACCGACTGGCTGGAGCGGGTGTGGCGGCCCGACTGCTTCTTCAAGAATGCCAAGCAGGTCACCTTCCAGACGATGACCTGTGCCCAACCACTACATATGGCTCTACAGGGACAAGACCATCCTCTACATGGTCAAGTGAGTGGAAAATTTTTAAAGACGATATGCCTTCTTGGGATACTTCAACGCGGAAATTTCGCTTGGTCTGTCTGCTAGTCGGTGCGTCTGTAAAACGATTCAGCGACCCGGTGAAAGTTTAAGCCCTTGCTCAATGTCCACCCATCTTCATCATGTAGTGGCGTTCATACTTGTGACATTGTAAATCAAAAAGCAAATATTACGCTTTTTTTGAGGCACAGCATGAATATATACCTATTAGCTATGTGATTTTTTATTCAGAAAATGCATACGTACGTAATTGTAAACTATGCAGTGTTATTACGCTGCGCTGAGAACGTGACGTTTTTACCGGAAAAGCGGGTGTTTCCTACGCTTCACTAAAATGGCACGGTGCTACAATCTACCAGTGGCCCTACGGTCTAAAAAAAAACTTAGTTTCGGGACATTACTGCCAGACGGTGTCCATATGTCGCGCAGCGCCTCAATACAGAAGATCGACATCCTTTGCAGTGATGTACGCAGAAGTGGGGCGAATTAGTCTTTTTTGAATAGTCGTGCTTCTTCATTTACAAAAGTCAACAAGCTAAACTTATTATAACCCGGTGGCTTGATAGCGCAAACATGTGTCTAGAAAACATCATCGATTATTCAGTGTACTACGTACGAGCGTAAAGCTCGGGAGGTGCACTAGCACTGACTGGAGAGCCAATAACCACCCGAGAAATCACTCGAACATCGCCGTAAACGACCACCACAAAGGCTCCAGGATTGTCACAGATATCCTTCACATTCTCATCAAACCTCATTGTGTGAAAATTTGATCGGGTGGTACTAATAAATATCGTGAATGTTTTGCCTCTTTTTACATATATATAAATATTTCTCTGGGTTCAGACAGGTCACCATTAGAACCTGAACTTGGCAACGTTCAATGCTAATCCTTATCTAGTGAGACAAGTCAAGGTGTACTATTCGACGAGCTAGAGGGTGTAAAATGGGATGTTATAGGCCTAAGTGAGGTTAGGAGGACAGATGAGGCCTATACAGTTCCACAGAATGGGCACATCCTGTGCTATCGTGGCTTGGCTGACAGAAGAGAACTGGGAGTGGGATTCCTTATCCACAGAAACATAGCTGGCAACATAGAGGAATACTATAGCATTATTGAAAGGGTGGTAGGTATTGTAAATAAACTCAATAAGATATACAAGATGACGGTGGTACAGGCTTAAGCGCCTACATCTAGCCCTGATGACGTGTCAGCTGAAAACTTCTATATATGAAGACGTTGAATCGGCAATGAGTAAGGTAAAAACACACTATACTATACTGATGGGAGACTTCAATGCCAAGGTAGTGAAGAAGCAGGCTGGAGACCAAGCAGTAGGAGATTATGGCATCGGTGCTAGAAATGCCAGAGGGGAGCTATTAGTATAATTCGCAGAACGCAATAAATTGCTGATCTTGAATACCTTCTTACGCAAAACGACGGAACCGGCAAGTGGACATGGAGGAGCCCGAATGGCGAAAGTAGGAACGAAATAGGACTTTATACTGAGTGCACACCCAGGCATCATGCAAGGTATGGAAGTGCTTGGCAAGGTACGATGCATTGACCATAGAATGGTACGGTCTCGAATTCACCTAGACTTGAAGAAGGAACGAAAGAAACTGACATGCAAGAAACCAATCAATGAGCTAGCACTGAGAAGGAAAGTACAGGAATTCAGTGTCTCGCTTCAGAACAGGTACTCGGCTCTTATCGAGGAAACCAGCCTTAGCGTTGACGAAATAAATGATAATTTGACGAGTATCATTACGGAGTGTGCAGTGAAAGTTGGAGGTACGGTAGTTAGTCAGGGCACTGGAAAGCTGTCCCAGGAAACGAAGAATGTCATTAAGAAGCGTCAAAACATGAAAGCCTCAAGTACAACAGGCAAAGAATAAAATTGGCAGAGCTTTGAAGTTGAGTAATCAGCGTAAGGTATCCGATGTAAAAAGATATAACATGAAGTAATTGAACACGCTCTGAAAAACAGAGGAACCGTCAAAGTAGTGAAGGGCTAGGCAAAAATTAGATGTATTCACTAAGAGACAAGGAAGGCAAATTAACTTTCAATATGGATAGGATAGTTGAAATAGCGGACGAGTTTCACAGAGATCTATCTAGTAGCCGAGACAACCAAACTATAAGAACTAGCAGTACCTAGATAGTACTAAAAGAACTAGCAGTAACCCTGATGGCACCCCACCGGTAATAATAGAAGAAGTCAGAAAAGCCTCCGAAAGCATGCAAATAGACAAAGCTGCTGGTGATGATTAGGTAACATCAGATATGCTGAAGTATTGAGTACAGATTTTGTTAGAAAAACTAGCCATCCCTTTTATAAGGTGTCTCCTGATAGGAAGAGTACCAGAGTCTTGGAAGACAGCTAACATCATTTTAATACATTAGAAAGGAGATGACAAGGACTTGAAGAATTACAGGCCGATCAGCTTGCTCTTTGTAGAATAATACAAGCTATTTACAAAGGTAATTGCTAACAGAGTTAAGAAAACATTAGAATTCGATCAACCAAAGGAACAAGCAGGATTTCGAACAGGCTACTCAACAATCGACCACATTCATAATATCAATCAGGTAATAGAGAAATGCTCCGAATACAGCCAACCACTATACATAGCCTTTATAGATTACAAGAAGGCACTTGATTAGGTAGAAATATCAGCAGTCATGCATACACTGTGGAATCAGGGTGTCGACGAAGCATTTATAAACATCCTGGAAGAAATCTACAGGAGATCAACTGCTACCATAGTGCTTCATAAAGAAAGCAACAGAATACCAATCAAGAAGGGTGCAAGGCAGCGGGATACAATCTCCCCAATGCTATTTACTGCGTGCTTACAGAAGGTTTTCAGAGCCTAGAACGGGAAGAGGTTAGGGATTAGAGTTAATAGGGAGTATCTTATAAGTTTGCGCTGTGCCGATGACAGTTGCATTGCTGAGTAATTAAGGGGATGAATTGAAGCTCATGATTACGGGTTTAAACAAGGAGAGCAGAAAAGTAGGTCTTAAAATTAATCTGCAGAAAATGAAAGTACTGCTACAACAACCTCGGAAAAGAACAGCGTTTCGAGATAGGCAATAGTGCACTTGAAGTTGTAGAGACTATGTATACTTATGACAGGTAATAGCCGTGGAGCCGAACTACAAGATTCAAGTAACTAGAAGGATAAGATTGGGGAGGAGCACAATTGGCAAGCACTCTCAAATCTTGACAGGTAGATTGCCACTATCCCTGATGAAGAAGGTATATAACAGCTGCATCTTGCCGGTACTTAGCTACGAAGCAGAAACTTGGAGACTTACAAAGAGGTTTCAGCCTAAATTGAAGATGATGCAGCGAGCAATGGAAAGGAAAATGGTAGGTGTAACCTCAAGTGACAGGAAAGAGCAGAGTGGATTAAGGAACAAACCAGGGTTAAGGATATCATAGTTGAAATTAAGAAGAGGAAATGGACATGGGCTGGGCGTGTAGCGCGTAGACAGGATAATCGCTGGTCATTAGGGGAACTAACTAGATTCCTTGAGAAGGCAAGCTGGTTAGGGGGAAAAAGAAAGCTAGGTAGGAAGATGAGATTAAAACGTTTATGGGTATGAAATGACAGCAACAAGCACAGGACTGAGTTGAGTGGCGGACCATGAACAATGCAATTGTGCTGCAGTGGACGTATTCAGGCTGATAATGACAATGAAATATTGATCCAAAATCAGATGAGATTTTACGCTTAATATCTGTCATGTACCGAAGAATACTGGAAAAGTTGATCAGCGAAACAGGTGTTTCAATACATCAAATAAAAAAATCCTTCTGTGTGATTCAAAAAGGTTGCACGAAATAAAAGAAACGATACGTTTACAAGCGAGGGTACAGGGTCAAGCGCAACCTTTTAAATTTCGAGCATGTCGAACACGCTAGGCTACGAACTACTTTAGATTGTTTTCACCTTTCGGTCATTGAAGGTGAATGTATGAAGTGAATCTAACCCTGCCTGGTTTGCGCAACATATACAGATATTAACTGATGCGCAGCATATACAAATATATGTTTTTTTTTTGTTTTTCATTTACCATCTACTGCACCTCTGTGTGCATATCTTTCTGTAACAAAGTATTGTGTGCCGGTGCATGTTCTGTTCTGTCGAGATGCTTTTTCGGGATGTTATTGATGCCCACTTTGAGAATAGATTTCTCTGAATCTAGGTGCGCCGGCGAAATAAAAAAAAAACGGTAGCCGTCATGCCTCCGTGTTTGTAAACATTGAAAGGCTCTCGAAACGATTCTCGTGCAATGCAGGCTCACCTTGACGCTGTCCTGCGCAATGAACTTCGCCTCCTACCCACACGACACGCAGACTTGTTCATTGCAGATGGAAAGCCGTAAGTCGAAATCATTTCCTTTTCTCTTCTTTTACCCACGTGCTCACTGCAGGAATTGTGATGAAAATGGTCCCTCGGCTACTCTGTTTCCTGTTGTTTGCTGCCCAGAAGAAAGTAAAGAAAACATTGTCACAGTTTCACCGGTATGGCAAAGCAATCAAAAGGATAGCAATAAATTAGAACGGGGTACGAAATCCTTCTACCAGACAACTCCTTTAGGATTGCGTTTTGTTTAACAGTACAAAATGCTGGCGTAAAGAAATAGGGCCGCTCCAGGGAGAGAACTGTTTTTTGCGCCACCTGTCGCCTTAACTTAAAGCAAGCGGGAAGGGCATAGAATGCACAAAGGGTTGAAGCCCTCTTGAGCTTTCAGCCGGGGAATTTTAAAACCTTAGCTCCTAAAATTTTTCGTTGTGCTGGGTAGTGCGAACAGAAATGGTCGGTCGGTAGGTCAGTTGGTCGGTCAGTCAAAATTTGGCGCAAGCTGCTCCGGGGATAGGCCTTCTATCCGACGGTGCCTTATCATCATCGGGACTCTGTGCGTGCTCTCTTCGCCTTATTCTTTCTTCCAGGCCTTTTTTGTTATCCTCTATTTCGCTCAAAAAAAAAAACACGTGTGCCAATTTCTTGAGGATGGCCATTCCGCACTTTTCTGAAGCTAGGCAGCTTAGTTTTGAAGCTTCCTTCATATATTTAAGTTATTAGGAAAGCTTGCTTTTCCATGTTTTCTTAACAGTTATAGCCTGAGAAAGCCACAAACCAAAAATTGAGCCAGTGTTGAAATCGTTTACGTATTGAGTAAGTCGGCGTCAAATTTGGTCATCAACTAGTGAGTGCGTGGCGTTGGCCACAGAGCCACGAAGGAGCCCTAATTGGTTCAACAGGGCTCATTGGTTGTAAAATTCTAAATGCATTATTTACCCAGGAATTCTTTCAAGTGTACTTGCAAAGTGACATTTGTCGCTATATTAGAAATGATAGGGCCCAGATTGTGACGTTAACAGAAATAGGTTTACGATGATATGGTGTTTGAAGCCGCCTCAGCGTCCCCCACGACTTTAGTTAACGTCGTTCTTTGTGGCTCCCAACTAAAAAAAAATGCTACGATGGTGGTGTTCTTCTCTTTGGGGATCTTTGAAGAGATATTCCCAAGAAATAAGCAGTTTTGGTTTCGTGTGCGAAGTACGAAGGAAACTTTTGTGTAATTTCCTACGAGAACGCTCGTCATATTTGTCGAGATAGCCCACTCAATCACGCCTTTTGGATGAAAGTTCACATGTACTGCCCAAAAAAAGGCAGCGTCCGTACCGCCCTGCGGGGCGCTTTCATGCTCCTTCGCCCACTGTATAACCGGCCGGTGCGCTTCATTTCTGCTTGTAGCGCACCCATCAGCAGATTTCGCAAGCTTTCGTTGACACACAGAACATGCCACGTGTGCGGCGATGTGATCGACTTGGACTTCATTCACACGTAATGTTAACGACGCTAACTGGACAAACCTGGAAGAGAATCTCGGCAGCGATCACTACATAATCAGTATTTCCCTCTCAACTCCAAAACTACGCAGAATCACAGGAGACGTGGTGATCACTGACTGGGAAAGATACAGACGACGTGATCTCTCACCTGACTCTGTACCGGAGTCGATTGGGGAATGGTCAGAGTACATAATCTCAGTTCACAAACAAACATCTAAACGTATCGCAAGAACAGCAGAGACTCCTGCAGTCGACAGGCACCTGCTCCACTTGTGGGAGAGCAGGCGCCGTATGCTGAAAAGGTGGGAAAACCAGCGACTCAACCGGAACCTTCTCCGCAAATTCACTGCTTTAGGAGAGAAGTGAAATCAATACGCTAACGAAATTGCAACTGAGGGATGGATCCAGTTTTGTTGTTCACTACAGGACACTCTGAGCACTGCAAAAACTTGGGCCATCCTAAGGAACATGCTTGACCCAAAAAAATCAAAATTGGCCTCGAACAGAACACTACAACGAATAATGCATGAGTTTCCGGGCACAGAGGAGGAGTTGATACAAGCACTTAAGGACAAATACATAGGAGAGAATACCGATAGTTGCAGTATTGAAATGCAGTACACTGGTGCGAAAAACGAGAGACTCGACGCCCCAATCACCACGGAAAAGGTCTTTGCGGCTGCCCAAGCAGCCAAGAGAAATTCTGCCCCTGGTTCAGATCAAATCACAAATGCAATGATAAGGAACCTCAGCGATAAGGTTATAGAGGCACTGACAAACCATTTTAATGACAACTATTGGCTCAAAGGGAAGATACCCGAGGAATGGAAAGTAGCCAAAATTATTACGATACCGAAACCCGGGAAGAAGCCATCCCTGCAGACACTCAGGCCCATATCTTTGACGTCATGCATGGGAAAGCTTTTCGAAAGGGTTATTCATATTCGGCTCCAAAACTTTATAGAGGACAATGGCCTTTTTCCAGCCACTATGCTGGGTTTTCGCAATGGCCTCTCCACTCAAGACGCATTTCTCCTATTACAAGAGGAAGTTTTGAGCTATATACCTACAGGAGGAGAACATCTAATACTAGCCCTTGATTTAAAAGGAGCATTCGACAATATCTCGCATAAGGCCATCCTCAAAGAAATAAACAACATGCGATGTGGGACAAACACCTACAATTACATCAAGCCATTCCTCACAGGAAGGCGGGCTTCGATAAGCGTAGCACAAGTAACGTCAGACGCTTTTGAGATGCCAAACAAAGGTACCCCTCAAGGAGCCATCCTCTCTCCCCTGCTCTTTAATATCGCCATGTTAGGACTCACGCGAGCTCTGGATAGAGTTCCGCAGTTAGGATACACTCTCTATGCGGATGATATCACCCTAAGGGCAACGCGTGGATCTCTAGCTAACAAAGAGCAGACACTTGAAGAGGCTGCAACAGCAGTTGAAAACTTTGCGAAGGCAAGTGGGCTCAGCTGTGCCCCAGAAAAATCTGAAATTATCAGGGTACATGGAAAAAAATACAAAAGTAACGGAAGCATTGACATAAACATTGAAGGTGTCAAAGTACGTGAGCTGACCGTCGCACGTATTCTGGGTTACTGGGTTCAAAGTAATGGACGAGCGAATCATACAATAAACATATTAAAATCAGCCATGAAACAAGTTGCACGAATGATCCATAGAATAACATACCACAAACAGGGCATGAAGGAAGGAGACACAATTAGATAAGTACAGGCACTTGTACTGTGTAAGGTTACGTATAGTCTACCTTTCCACGTGTTAAACAAATCAGCGGAAGAAACCATCGAGTCTATAATTAGGGGCGCCTACAAAGTGGCCATAGGGCTACCTGTAAGCACACCAACCCAAAAGCTTTTGGACCTCGGTATATATAATACATACCCTGAGCTAAAGACAGCGGTACTGACTGCGCATAGAAATCGTCTAAGTCCAACGAAAGCGGGGAGAGAGATACTTTCTAGGGTGGGCTTTCCGCCATACCCCCAGTACATGGACGAGGTTCTTGTAGAAATCCCGGATTCCGTCCGCAGCAAGATCTCGATCTCACCGCTCCCCAAGAACATGGACGTAAAAACAAACAGAAAGCGCAGAGAGGAGAGAGTGCGATGGCTCCGAAAAACATTCAAAAACAAATCAAATGTTTTGTATGTGGACGCTTCAAGGTATAATTTTAAACGGTCAGTTGCATCGATACTTAGCAACGACAACTGCATGGTGACATGTGCATCACTGTACACGTCCTCGATCGCCAAGGCGGAATGTTTTGCTATTGCCCGTGCAATCAAAGCGCAGGAACAAAGAGATCAACCGCAGACAACTATCATTTCCGTCTCGCAGGAAGCGTGCCGTTTCTTTTTAAGAGGCCGCCTTCCAATAAAAAAATTGCCCGCAGCTTCCCTCGGGGGAACACTGAGGAGAATGCGGAGCATATAATTGGTTAACGGGGTGTTAAAGTGCGACTTACTTGGGTCGATGGCTAAATTGGTTAACGTGGTTGTGAATTGGGTGTTAAATTGCGACTTACTTGGGTCGATGGCTAAATTGGTTAACGTGGTTGTAGGAGGGGGTGTTAAATGAGTGAACACGTACACACGTATGCGAAAGGGCGGCGCTGGTCGAAGGGACGTCGATCATTGTGTTTGTGGATTCGTTGGAATTCATTTCACGCGACCTTGGACGTCGACGCGCCGTACAAACCAACCGACGAGCGGCAACTGAGCGAGCGAGCGCCGACCTTGAGTATATATACAGCGCGACGGCGCATGCACTGTCAGCTGTTGAATGTTCTCGAAGCGCGACGCCACATGCGCGTCCACTGGAGAATCAGGAGAATTGTAGATGTCGAACGCGGTGTGTAGAGGAGGAAGGGTGCACAGATGGTGGAGGAGTGAAGCGCGCGCGGTGTGTAGAGGAGGAAGGGATGCACAGATGGTGGAAGAGTGGGAGACGGCACGACGGCGCATGCGCGCGCGTCAGCTGTCGAATGTTCGAGAAGCGGTGCGGACGGCGCGGACGGCGCGGACGGCGCACTACAAGGCGCGAGTATAAGATGCTTCCGCATCTAAAAATAAGCAAGTTCTTAGGAAGGAGCTTGGCGAACAAGTGCAGACTGATCTGGTGTCCAGGACACGCAGGCCTGGAGGGGAACGAAAGAGCTGACGCTTGTGCTCGAGGGCTCACGAACCGAGCAGAGCTTCGACAGCACATTCAATCCTTTGAAACACTCCAGGAGGAAGCTATTGAGGAGTATAATGACCCATCCAGAATGGCCCCTCGCGAAATTCTTGCTAACCAGCGAGGCATGCGACAAAAATACAGCGCCCCCCACAAATCGTTAGAAGGGGAGGACGCGATTGACCTCCGCCAAATTCAAACGGGAGTCTTTCCCAATCTTCAAAGGTTACACAAAATTTTTCCAACGCTGTATGGGCGTGCTTGTCCGTGGTGTGGCGGCTCGCCATCGCTCTACCACATTTCGTGGAGATGCCTAAAACGACCACCAAATTTAGATACCTTTTTAGGTCAGTACAAGCTTTGTAATACTTTCGAGCAATGTGAGGCACAGCTCGCCAGCTCTGACCCAGAGGTGCAGCTTGCACTTCTGCGGCACGTCAGACAGACGGCGGCAGCCAGTGGAGCCCTGGACTTGGGGCTCCACCCATCAAGCTCATGACCCCTGTCCCAAACCCTTGCAAATAAAGTTTTTCCTTCCTTCCTTCCTTCACATGTAGTGCCCAAAATAAGGCAGCGTCCGTACCGCCCCTGCGAGGCCCTTTCATGCTCCTTCGCCCACTGTATAACCGGCCGGTGCGCTTCATCTCTGCTTGTAGCGCGCCCATCAGCAGATTTCGCAAGCTTTCGTTGACGCACAGAACATGCCACGTGTGCGGCGATGTGATCGACTTGGACTTCATTCAACACATAAGGTCCACGGTAACTGCGTAAATTCGCCTCAAATCTCCATACTATTGCTATCGCGATAATAAATACAGAGTGGCGCATATATGAATAATTTTGAAAGTGAAACTAATAAACTAACCTCAAACTTTGATGTTTGTGGACGAAAGTTTGCTCTTTACTACAAAGTCCAACTACACATGCATTTGCTTAGCTTGAGTCTGGCTAAGCAAAGGGCGTAGCACGCCGCCCTAAACTTGACTGCTGATGATTACAACTTTGCCGCAAAGCTTCATTTAGGTACAAAACTATCCGTAAATCGGCGTTTAAGGGTGAATCTCATGCGCTTGAATAAATGGGGACCGTTTAGTATATCTACTGCGTTTGAGTTGTTTCGCGTTCGAGAAGTCATAGCAGCTGAATTTGCGGTGACCGCTTGTTTCCAATGTGGAAGACTTTCAGTGGTAATCACAGGTGCACTTATTTGTCTGGCATAACCATACAAATATATATTTAGCATTTCTAAGTACCTCACAGGTTGGCGGCACCTTTAGAGTGTCTTGATCAGGTGACAAGCGTACCGCTACTCCGAATACGAAAGAGGCACTGCGATTTATGCTTAATCTGTTTAAATACGGTAGTGTCTAACGGGCTTCCTATCTTCAAGGCAAAACGTATTTTCTGTCATATAACAGCAAAGCCGCACGCGAAAAGACCACTCGTAGATCAATGCACAGTTGCCTACTATACAAAAATTATCATTGTTTTTACATGAAAAAATTACCATAGCTAGCCAAACTGAGATCAAACAAAAGCTGTCAAACTGGGCAAATCTTTTCATGTTACTGTGACGTTCGAAGTTATGGGTAACATGAACATCTTCATGAGCAGTTACCAAGTTAAGAATTACCTAATTAGGCGAAATACGCACTGGCTATAAGCTACAGAAATGCTAAGCACTAATACTTACCACTAGTCCCTACTACGGCCACTATCTACTATTAAGCCTACTAGTCACCACTCCTTCAAAAATAATAATAAAGTAGTGAATAAATAATTCCAAATAAAAGAGTAAAGTTAATATGTTGATCAAACAAGAAAATACATCATTAGCATAATATAGTTAAAGATATAAATAAAGTAGAAATTAAATGTATAAATGCACACCTACTCAACTGCGTCCTACAAGGCTTCGCTTGCCGTCCATTATCACGGATATAAGTTGTTCTTGAATTTTTATTTTTCAGTGTCACATACAACAGACGACCTGGTATTCGAGTGGAACGATCGAGATCCACCCGTGGTACACACCGATTTTCACCTGCCTCAGCTCGACCTAGAGTACACCGACCCACAAGACTGTACGGAGTCCTACTCGACAGGTAATAGTACCACTGTATGTTTAATAGACCGTTGTATGTTTTTCAGAGAAACAAGGCTGCTTAGGACACCTTTTAGAAATATCGCAAAAAACAAAACAAAAAATTTTGTAGCGAGAACATATGACCTTCTCAACACGATGATCCTCCAAAGCCGTTCCCTCTTCAAATATATCAAGCGCGGTATGGGCGAAAGTAATGATGATAGTATAAATCGTTGCGTTTGACGTTTCAAAGTTAGGGTGTATTTATGAGAGATGTCGTAGTTGAGGCCTTCGAAAATTCCAATTACGTGGGGTTCATTAACGTGCACCTGAATTCAAGTACGAGGCACTCAAGCTTTTTCACCTCCATTGAAAGTGGCACTACTGCAGCCGGGATCCAAATAAGCGACCGGCGCATCAGCAGTTTAATGCCATAACCAGTATACCATCGTGGCGGGTGTACGGGCACCAATTCGCACGCTTGTTTCTTTCCCTAGAGAAACTGGTCGAGCCCTTACTTCCCGTTTTAGGAATAACAATGAAAGATCTTCTCACCAAAATAAAGATATACGACTCGCGTTCAATGCGGAGGTATAATATATACAAATGATATTGTAGCATAACGTTATTATGAAGACCCGTTAACATTTCGCATGGCTACTAAAAAAAGTTTCTATTGAGTGCACTGAAAGATCGTGAGAATCAGGGATCGTTGCAGTACCTGGTGTAGCGTATCGTATCGGAACCTCGCTCTTCTTTCTCCATGGCCTCCGAGATCCGTTGCCGCATCGCGTAAAATACAAAGTTGACCCAAGGTTGCAGGTACACCGTGGAAGATGACCGCTGACGTGCGAATGCCGCTACGGGTCAACGAAGCCAGGGATGAAGGTCAACTCCATAGATTTGTGCAGAAAGTGGAGAAACATATGCAGTTCGAAAACTTATGGAGTGCCATGGGTTTTTTCATTGCTTACGTTCCTCCTTGTTTCGGTTTTCCCAACAGACAAATGAACACATAGACGAATATACGCACTGCTCGAACGTTTTTTAGAAGACGCCGATTATTGTTATTTATATTGAGCGACTCGATTGAAAGTCTGCATACTGACCATGTGTTTGGTTTGCCCAAACAAAAGCTTTGAGCTCGTCTATAAATTTGTGTATTTATGCAAAGTGTAATATTTTCATTTCTCAATATTTTTCTTTCGCAACAAACAAGTGGAAAGTGGTAGCCGTCACCAAGTATTGATGACGACTCTTTCGTCAATTCTTTTTTATTTCAATAAAAACACGTTCCTTTGCATTTTCAGGTAACTTCACCTGCCTCCAGCTCACGTTCAAGCTGAAGCGACGACTGGGCTACTACATGTTCCACACCTACATCCCCACCTGCCTGATTGTTGTCATGTCCTGGGTCTCGTTCTGGATAAAGCCGGAGGCTGTGCCGGCAAGGGTGACGTTGGGCGTCACCAGCCTCCTCACCCTGTGCACGCAACACGCCAAGAGCCAGGCCGACCTGCCTCCCGTGTCGTACATCAAGGCCATCGACATCTTCATGTCCTCCTGCACTGTGTTCGTGTTCGCCTCGCTCATGGAGTACGCCGTCGTCAACGTCATCCTCGAAGACGGCTACAAGCACTTCGATGTAGTGCGAAGACGTGGGGTGAGTTCCTGGATACGGTGTACAGCCACTGAGGAATTGAACGTGAACAAGAAATACCAAGGTCCAACAGTTTTTGAGTGCCTTAACTCGAGAGCACCATAACACGTCGGTGCCTAACAGCACGGGTATGAAAAGTTGTTTTAGTGAAGCGCAATGCTATATGCAAAGTGTTCATGCAAGAACAAACGCGAAAAATTGTGCTTGAGTTAGTGATACATCTTGGTCCTATTTTAATTGTCTATAACTGTACACGATCTACTCCACAAGAAAATAAATCCTTGCCTAGTATTCTGTTTGGTGCACTCGCTACCTTCAGTCTATTTCACGAAGAGAACGTATGTGACGCCTCAAACTGATTTTCTGCAGCTTTTACTCTGTTGTATGTTGTATTGGTAATCTTCCAGTTTTGGGCCCTCATCTAGAAAAGAAAAAAAGTAGAGTACTCTGAGTCATTGATTGCTTGAGAGTCAATACCTTACACCAACGACTCAGTAGAGCGTCTAATTCACTGAAATGTTAGCTTTCTGTGTCTTTGATTCTGCGCGGACTCATTTGGAGTTGCCGCCAGCACCGCCCATCACATATAAGGCATTCAGTGGGCCATACCAGGCAGGAACAAAAACACACCAAGACATCACGGTTTGTTGTTTTTGTCTATTCTTCGACCTTGTCGAGTATTGCACATTGAATCACAAATGAGCGCCACGTCGCTCACTTGTTAGTCCTTTGTCACGACATACACTTTTCCGCTAACCCGTTGTATGTAAACACTGGGAAGTCTACGGAAAACGGAAAATTTTCGGACCATCACGTGGTCTCACCACGTAAAGCTCCAGGCTATCCTTCCAAAGTGCATGCTTGTACACATATTCGTATACATTTTGTTGCAATTCTGTTCTTAACGTCTCCATCATTGTCATTTTCGTATAACGTCGAAATAGACAACATCACCCAGTGCATCGCATGTATGTAAGAGAGTAAGCATGGGAAAGCTGAAGTAGGAGGGGAGGAGAGAGATGAAACTTCACGGCCCGTTCTACCAGTTAAAGGAGCCTGAAAGGTTCCTTGCGTGGAAGCACGTCACTTGGGTAGCCACTGTGAACTTTGATCAAATGGATGTCGCTGCGTCCGCTGATTCGCGTTATCATGACAGACGTCAGTAGATAGCTCCTACCCGTGTACTTCCTGTTCGCCTACGTTTGCTTCACGTCGAAGTGACAAAGGATGTTAAAACCGCTTCGCTACCTGGAGCGGCCGTATTTCCTTAACGCAAGTGCGTTGTATAATTAGGCGATATTGCATTTTAACTGAGTAATCTGTTAGCTTTATTCCGTGTAACATTCCAAGCTGCTTCAAACACATTCATTGCTTCGTCGTCGCGGCGAAACAGTAATTTCATTACTTTTATACCTCGACGAATTGCCCTCTAAATCAATTTTATTTGTTGCAGGATCTGGATAATCCGTCCGAGCCAAGCTGGAGAGAACAAGGCCGACTTCGGGCTCTGCTCATCGACAGAGTGTCGCGCGTGGTTTTTCCCACGAGCTTCGTGTTTCTGAACGTCTTCTACTGGTTCTTTTACGTAGTCTTCGCGCGACGCCAGTGCATCACCGCAAACACGACGACGGAGCCTGACATGCAATGCTATCGCACAGCTACTAGAGAGAGTCAGCGCGTCCTTTATACGCGTGTATATAAAGCAACAGTGTTATCGGAATGCATGGTTGCCCCACGACGGTTGTGACACCTTGCGAAACTTCATCTAACCGCAAATTTCAGACTTGCATCTTTATTGTGAGAGAAATTACGTAGATACCCAAGGCGCAAATACGCCGTAGCCGAGTGGTTCCGTATCAGGTCTAAGGGCGATAACATCGCCTCACGCGTCGTGTGTTATAACTACTAGTTAAATTGTGTGAGTGCAGCTATCGATCGCGACAGCAACGGAAAGGAAACGCACCGGATGTCTCCGTCATGTTTTACTCTCAGCTGACGTCACTTTCCTGGCTTCGTGTTCACTGAGACTAGTTGGTGAAATGTTGCAGCCTACCATGACGCACTATTTGACGCCCTATATGACGCACCATGACGCGACTTAGCTGACAGTATGGGTATTGCGCCGCTTCATGGTTTCTTTTAGGCACGTTGACTAGATCAGCTAGGCCACTGTTATGTCCGACCCATTTTAAGAACGAGAGTGAAAAATTATCGTCATTTTAATTATAATCACAAACCATCGTAATTGCATGCAAAGGTATTCTCTCGAGACATATATAGGTATGTAGAAGGAGCGCGCCTTTGAAAGGTCGTGAGTTTGTCGAAGCAGGTGGTAAGTATTATCAGGTCAGAGTCCGTCGTCAGCAAGGGCAGGGTTGGAATACTGGTGAATAAATAGCGGCTACGAGAATAGATCAAGAATCGTTAAAAGAATGAACATCCGAATAAAAATGAACAAGCTTCAATGGATTAAAACGGAAGATGACGCTGCGAGCATAATAGACTAATAACTGTAGTAATATATGATTCTAGATTACGGGTTAGGTGACTGCTATTTGCCCCTTCATTTAGAAGAAGATACTAATAACCAACGTCATGGTTATTATCATCTTCAAGGTGCGTCATCGTTTCATGGTTACACGTTCAGTAAACAGGTATTCCGCTTATGCTTCGATGTTTGTGGATAAAATATTTAAATTTTTTGGACTCACAGACACCTGACGCACGAAGCAAATCATCGGCATTTCCTCCTCCTCAGTGAGATTTGACTCGACTTAGCTTCACGGAAGGTCCTTAGACGGGTCTAAGTGCACACGTGACGTGATCATTGTGGACCGGACGCCGAGAATCGTGCACATGGCTACAACGAACTATCGTGTTGTGTTTCAACAGACTTGTTTGACGCCTACGTTGCTGACATTGTATGACGCAAAATATTTTGTCTTTCGGAGCCAAGCCACACAATAAAGAAAGCGATGGTTTCATGCTTCAAAGGTGCAGTGACATACGTGGCAAAATGCTCGTCATAGTGAGTGTCTTGTTTAGCGGCCTCTTAAACAAACAATAAAAATGGCAGGTGAATGAAGTGATACAAAGATATGCAATCAAATAATGCCATGGTCTGCGCGTGCGCGGTCTTCCAGGCAAGCAGTCCTCGTCCCGCGGTTCATCTAGATTGGCACCACCTTGATCGAAACGCATGGAGTTAGGTACCTAGGTGTTTTGATTGGCGCTTGGGCGCACAAAATTAGTGAAAGATAATCAAGAGTTGGACCATGTGTGTTCGTGTGCTGGATAAGCGCACTTGAAAAAATTGCTCACTATATATATAACATCTGAGCTGTTTAAGCCTAAAGTTCGGCAAGCGTTGCTCGGAAATGCACGCCCTCTTTCAATCTCGCCATGTTAAGAGAGGGTAAATCTAGTATTGTTTATGCTACAGCGCATACTAAAGCCATTTATATGCTCTAAGCCACCCCTTGCATACTGAACTACAGTAAGGTACTATAGCATACCGCAGTACAGTACAGTAATACATCGGTAAGAGATGTGAGGATGAGTGATATGCGATTGAGGAAGAGGGGAAAACGTGAAGCATGATATAAACCCTGCAAAGTATAGTAGAGAGCAAGGGGAATGGAACGAAAGTTATTAGAGGCTGAGCGATATTAGGGTGAGCGGAACAGAAACAACGGAAACAGATAGTAAAGCATGGCATATCCATGCGTCGTATAGGACAGCAAGGTATGGGGGAAGGGAAGCGAGGGCAAAGAGGAGTGATGTGACGGTTAGGAGAGAAATGGAGATAGGGAGGCTAAAGCATAGCATAAGCCATGTGTAGTATAATATATCAAAGGAATAGGAAATAAAGAGAGCGTGGCAGTAGTGTGAGCGAATCGAGGAATGAAAAGAGGGAGAGAGAAAGTAAAGAACAGCATAGCAGGTAGTGCAAAAAAAAAGGTGAAAAGGAGGTTAATCAGAAGTAGATATGGTGTAAGATAAGATAACCATGCATAGTGTAGTAATAGTTGGAAAAGAGAAGTAAAGAAGTGAGGGTGACGAGAAGGGGAAGGCAACCATCTCCTCTGTTTCTGCAATCGTCGCATCGTTGGTGCATATCTGGCCTTTCTATCCAGCTTTTTTTTTTCTTTTTGCAGTGCATGATTGCCATTAGTGCTGGTGAAGCTCGGCGTTTCTCCTGATGCAGCCGTGAACACATCGAAGGGCCTGATTGATAACAAAGATACGCATATACACCACGCAACAACAGCGGAAGAAAGCAGATTTAAGCTAGTTTTTCCCCCGCTAGGCCACTCTAAATGCAATAAAGTATAACGCGCGTGCCCAGATAGTAGTTTGATTTTCGCCGCTCTATACTTCAGCCGGTGAGCCATGGCAAGTGGACGCCTTTACGGAACTCGGAATTATTCTGTTCGTGCCAGTAGTGCCGCAATCAGTACGCTTAACCGGCTTAACTTGAATGCTCCGCCACGGGCCTCGTCTCGCTTCATTAACGCCAGCGGCGCCAAGCGTCGGACGCGGTATGTTTGCTGCAGCTCACAAGCGATGGAATTAGGGCAGATCTTCGCTTACTGTCCGCCTCAATGGTGGGTGGAATACTCTAATTTAGCGGGTCCGCTTTCGCCATGTTTTGCTCGTGGCTACGCCCCCGCAGCCACCTGGGATATTTGTTGCTCTGTGCTTATCTCGGCAATCGGCGACTGTGTGCGACAACTCGTGCATCGTTCGAAATGATATAGTGGTAAATCAGACTGAGCACGTGTTCAACGCATTTGATATTTATTTACAGGCCAACCTTTATAAACGCCATGAACGTGTCTTTCCTGTGCGTTACCAATTTATCGTTTCTTGAACTGGTGGCCGAGATTTCAGACTCGAAGGGTGCATGAGCTGTCCCACGCAATGGTTGATGGCCGAGATAAGCATACGGCGATGAATTTCATAGGTGTGCGTGAAGATGCAGCCGCTAGCGAAGTGTGGCGTAAGCAGGGCTGCCAAGTGAGTGTGTTTCACCTACCGGTCACTCCGAAGTGCGACACAAATCAGCCAGTGAAATCGGACTGCGCTCTTTGTACCGTTAGCTGCAGCAAGCATACTTCGTCCAACTCTTAGAGGCACTGACGTCAGTCGAAGCGGGTCGAGACGTGTGGTGAGGCGTTCGATTTCAGCGTGCTTACGATTGTGTATGTAGTGTGTACCTGCCCGAATATTACAAAAGCACTGGTGCGAAGACCACGAAGGTTGACGTACTATCGTGAGCAATATGAGCTCAAACACGCGAACGCGTCTCGAATAGCCTCGAACCCTACATCGACTGATTTGCAGCGGCCGCTGTGGGAAACAAAGTGGAAAGGGCAGCGCGCTTACGCTAGCTAACCACACTCCCTTCTCGATATCGTTGCTGCAGAACGCAGGCGATAGCGTGTCAGATGCTAGTGGCTGCTGTCGGTGGTTTGAGTTCACTTCAACGCGCACATCCACAACCAGTTGACCTAGCAAGCTATCAAGCTACAAAAACATCGGCTGTGACGTAGCCGGCCGTCATGTACAGGCCGTGCTTTTTTATTACATCTAGATGGTGTTCGCTAAGCATTTGGTACGCATCTTTGTTTTTGGTGAATTTTCCCTTTTCGTGTTATCATTGCTGGCGACCGAAAACACGCGATAAACTGCCGGTTAAGAGCAACGATCATGCGAATATGGTGATGCGGAAGTGCCAACAGTCAGCGGAAGAGCGCCCTCATTTCCCCTCCCGTTTCGGCAGCGCCATCCTCGTATCACGTTATCGGCATTTTGGGGCTTTTGGCCACGCCCTCGCGCGTTCGAACTCATATTGCTTATGATAGTACAGCGGTGAGCACTGTTAGGGTAAACACGTGAGCACGTGGCCTACGGCATTGTCAGCGCCTCGTTACGGTCATCCCTGGAAACATTGCGCATGCGCATCACGCCTTCCGCGAAATAATTGCTCCACCGTGCGCATTACGTCATGAATGCACTTGTTCGTCGTCTGCTAGCCGCATTTTTGTTTTTAAGCCCATGCATCCTGCATTTTAAGATTTCTTTAAACATCTGTGCTTGAACAGAACAAGACAAAAAAACTTGCATATCTAAGAGGGCGTGTCTATTCATTCCCTTCAAGGTTGTTGTGCATGCAACGCCGTATATAAAACAACCAAACATCTTTTGCAGCCGTTAATTCTGTCGCCAAACCGTGTTATGGCTAGGGTTCCTGATGATGAACGGCGCTCGATAGTCGATCTTTTCCTGAAAGGTTACTTACTAGCGTATATTGGTGCTTCAGTTAAAAGGCCCCTGAAGACTGTGAACAGGAATAATTCAAGCCTACAAGTATGAAGGTCGCATTCAGGATGCACCCCGCGCGCCCCGCCCTAAAGCTTACCACAGACGATGAAGACGCCCTCATAGTTGCAGCTGCTGTTCGTAACCCTTTCTTGCCAGCCCCAGCAATACGCGAGGGCTCGGATTTGGACGTTTCGGACACCACTGTTCGACGTCGCCTGCGTACTGCGGGCCGTCGCAGCGCAGAAGCCACTAACGGCGGCACACAAGGACGCACGTTGGCAGTTCGCTGAGTTGCACGAAGCATGGACTTCAGAAGAGAGGGGTCGCGTCATCTTTTCGGATGAGTCGACGTTTTCGACGCGACAAGACCAAAGATTGCGTGTTTGGAGACTACCAGGCACACGGTGAGGCAAACTTCCTGCTTTGAAAAGCAATTATTTTAGTTAACGTCAAAATGCCACGCAGGAACGATCCAGACAACGTGCAAGGTGTTTCTGCCAGTGGGAGATTGAGTGTGAGCGTGTGGAGTGCTGCTTCAAGGGCCCCTGCAACGTATACATGGACACTTATCGTCGGCACAATACTGAAGCATTTTCAACAATGTGCTGTTGCCATATGCGAGCAGTTTATTCCCAGATGGTGATTACCTGTTCCAACAGGACCGGTCACCGTTACACATGGCGCGGGCTGTTAAGGAGTTCCAGGCGGAGCAGCACATGCAGCTACTGGAATGGCCTCCGAAAGGAGCGGACCTGAATGTGATAGAAATCGTGTGGGGCTGTCTGAAAGCTTCTTTGGCGAGGAAGCCCTTTTATTCCGCGAC